GTTGGGGTTTTGTACGTAGCAGAGCAGCTTCCTTGCTGTGATCTATTGAAAGTCAGCCCTGGACACAAGGGTTTGTCTCCTTCCTGTTCTCTGCCTTCCCTGGGGGTTGCCTGACTGCTGTGGTGGCAGCACAGCAGTGAGGGAAGGAGGAGGAGGGGAGGCCAGAAATGATGGGGTAGCAGGGCATCCATTCCTTCTGTGCCTGGCCTGGTGACCATTGACTCCTCTCCTGACCTCGCCGGGGCCTTCAGGCCCTGGGCTGGAACAGGGAACCGGAGGTGAGTGGCGGCAGACACAACCACTTTCCCACGGGGCTGAGGGCCAGCTCCCTCCTTGGGGCCAGAAGCTAAGCTCCCTCGGTCTCTCCCCCCTGGGCTGGCCATCAGTGCCCCCCCATGCACAGATTTGTGCACTGGGCCTCTAGTAATAGTTATAATTTACTGAGTATTGTGTTTCAGTATTTATTGAATATTTGTTATAATAAATACTTTATAAAAATAACTTCACTTAATTCTAACTACTATAAGAACTATATATTATTATAACCATTTTATAGATGAAAAAAAAAAAACATGGTACAGATTGGAGAAGAAACTTGACCAGATTGAATAGTAGGAATTAGCAGAGTCAGGATTAAAACCCACATCTATCTAATGTTAAGTCCTTATTTAAACTACCTTTCTGAATTAATGGATGATGGATTCTTCATGTGTTGCCAAAAGAGAACAGATGCTTAGCAGAAACCAGCAAGGTAGACACTGGGAAGTCAGCCCTGCCCTTCTAGCAGCCCAATCTCTGATAAAAGCATCACTCAGAACCCCCAGATGTTTGCATTTGTGCTGATTCTTATGGGCTTTCAAGGATGGGAAAACACATGGGTCACGTCACAATCTAAGAAATATATATATGTATATATATATATATGTATACATATATATATATACATATATATATTTTTTTTCAAAAGATCCACACACTAAATATGAGAATTTAACAAGCAACTTGTCAAAGCTTCCAAAAGATGCACTTGCATGAATACTGAGAAGGGAGAAAAAAAATGGCACCTACAGACTTAAGTAGTGTTGAAAAGTATAGTAATCCTCCCTCCCCATCCACGGTTTTCCTTTGTGAGGTTTCAGTTACTTGCACTCAACCACAGTCTGAAAATATTTAGTGAAAAATTCCAGAAATAAACAATTCAGAAGTTTTATGTTGTACACTGTTCTGCGTAGCATGACGGAATCTCACACCGTCCCACTCTGTCCCACCCTGGACATGAATCATCTCTTTGTCCAGCATCTTCACACTATAGGTGCTCCTGCCTGTTAGTCACTTAGTAACCATTTTGGTTATCATATCTATTGTTGAGATTTCACAATGCTTGTGCTCAAGTAATCCTTATTTTACTTAATTATGGTCTGAAAGTGCAAGAATAGTGATACTGGCAATTTGACTATGCCTCAGGAAAGCTGTAAAGTGCTCCCTTTAAGTGAAAGGTAAAAGTCCTTGACTTAATAAGGAAAGGAAATATCCTAAATTATAAATTGAACTTTATCACAGGTAAATATATACATTACTACCATTATGTATACACACACACACACTGAGTGGACAGATTATTATGATCACCTGACGTTTGTAGGCAAATTAGCTATAATTTTGTGCTGAAGTTGCTAGAGGGCCAGACCATTATAAATAGGGAAGCAGGTTGTTTAC